TTATCATTCAATCTTGCTTTTTTATTTTTTTGATTCTCCATCACAAGGCTGCAAAAATAAATAAATATAAATCACGGCGTTTTTTATAAAAGGTTGATAGGTTTCTTACCTATTAACTTTTTGCAGTGTTGTTGCACTGACTCCTGGTGCAAAACAATTCAAAGATAGTATGTATAACCAACAAATATATGGTGCTGTAATCAATTATCCGAAACACAGAATGTCTCGTCGAGCACTGTTGCACTGTATATCTTTTTCTTCTAACCCTCCCACTCCTGTCTCCTAACGAACATGGCGATCAAGTGTGTCCTTTTGCCAAATGCACCCGAATGCATGGGAAACTTACCCGAAGCACATGTTGACAATAATAAGGCCAGAATTGGGCATTTTGTCACTCGAGTAAAAATAAAATGTCATGAGTAAAGATTAATCTCTTTATAGTGCAATTGTTAACCTTTTTATATTAATGTCAATATTGGAACAATGTATCTTGGATGTTTTCACTATGTATCTTTGCTACGCAACACTGATGTACATGTTTACATCCGGTTTTAGAATTGCATTATTGATCATGAGTAATAATATTACTCGAGTGATGCCCAACTCTGGCCGTTGCGAGAGACAAATACTTGAATTATGCAATTTTTTGTCTCTGTCGATGCGTGTCACCCAAAATGAGTTCACGTGTCACCTCTGACACGTGTGTCATAGGTTCGCCATCACTGACCTAGAGGACCAGTAGGGACTGCGGTCAAGAATACACCTGGAAGAATCAGCTTTGAAAAGGATACTAAGACTTCTTTTTTCGAGATTACTGGAAGGAAGAGTGGAAGTGAATGTCCGAGTCAGGGGCATGAGACAATCTCACTAAAATTGCAGCGGATGTGAGAATTAAGTAATAAGTGACCTTGAGGAGAGGAATGGAATGGCTGCTGGGTGGCGGGGGGTTGGAGAAGGAGCAGAGCAGCTCTCTGAAGCTGACAGGATTCTCAAGCTGTTTTGAGGGTCTTGCTGAAGTGGGCAACCTGGAATTGAAGTAGACCAAACCAAGTGCTTGTAGGTCAAGCATTTCAAACACTAACATGAACCAAGTTTATGTGGGCTGCAAAACAAAAGCTTCAATTTTCATAGAAAGGTTTATTTCGATAAAGACATGCTGAATACAAAGGGCTGAAATAAATGAGTAATCGTTAACAAAAAATAATGGAACGTTTTAATAAAAATTAGTATTTTTCATTGAACATTAACTTCCCAGACACTGAATAACTGCACAGATTAATAAGCACAATGCAAATAAACCTACTTTTCTCGTTCTCCAAAAGCAAAGTATTTCCTGTTGCATATACCAAACAAGTCAGTACAAGACTAATGACGTGGCCATTGGCTGCTAAAATATTCTCTGCTAGTATTAATGGAGAGAAATAGTACGCCTGCGCGTAAGGCGCATAAGGGAAATGAATGCAACACGATTATATAGTAATCAGTCATTAGCAAATGTAGTTAGTAATTAATAATTATGTATAACAGGTTATTGTAAAAATTAGGTTACGAAATTTTTATTAAAACGTTACATACTGTTATATTCGCTGAGCCACAAAAATATTCATTGTGGGCCACATGCAGCCTGTGGGCTGTGAGTTTGACATGCTTATTGTAGGTGATTGTTCTGTTGCAGCTCTTGGGAGGATTTGGAAGGTCAATGAGGGCAGAAAGATGGTGGTAGTTGGGGAGTGGAGCTTTATAGAGCTGAATTTATTTCATTTGAGAAAGGCAGGCTGTTTAGTTGAAGACATTGGGATTCAGCATGATGGTGAGCGGAACCAGAGCAGAGTGTGGATGACTAATAATCCAGGAGAGAAGGGAGATGTATGTGGCAGTCTCAGACATCAAGGAGTAGGTCTGGGGATACTGACAGATGGAAGAATAAGGGTGGACCAAGAGGAAAGAGTTGCAGGTTGGGGTTCTAGGTGAAGTTGGAAACCAAATGCAATGTGCTTCCATCTGAGCAAAGGCAAAGGTCACTGGAGTAGAGGGGTCTGGGGCTTATAAGTGTCATCCATGTGGCTATTTGATCTTGTCACCCAGAAAATGACTGGACAGGACATGAAGAGGTTGAGGAATGGTGGGGAGTGCATGTCAGCAAAAGGGATTGGATTGTTTCTTTAGGAAAAACAGTTCCTTTCCCAAGGGTGTCAGACCTAACTAGGTTGGGGTCATGGTTTCCTATGCACAGCCAGAACTACTGATACCATGACATGGTTGAAGTTAAAAGGCTTCCTCCCAGTGTCAACCTTTCTTGGAGCTTCTCAGTAAGACCCAGTTATTAATGGTGATTGCACCCCCTCTACAATTTTGTCTAGCATTTCTGGTAATTGGGTTAATTTTAGCTATAAAAAAAAAAGGAAGCACTGGTCTTTGAGATGATGGGTTGTGTTCAGACTAACACTTTGAACCTCAAAATAAGTGACTGACTAGATCAGATCAACCAGTTGACAGCCTGTCTCCATTTAGTCAGAGTCCCTGAAGGCTCTCGAGAAGCTTGGCAACCTCATAAAAGGCACCATGCTTTTACTCTGCCACCCAACTGTTCACCCCCTTCTCTCCCTGATAAAACTGCCCTGTCCTTCAAACCCCAGCTTAAATGTTGCTTCCTGGTGACGCCTTCCCTGACTCCCATTGATGGACTAATTTAGGCTTCATTCCTGCCGTGGAGACTGGACTCTGTTTGTGAAATTATCACATTGTAGTATTATTTCTCTCTCCCTTAGTAAATTTTGAATTTTTTAAAAGATGGGGACTGTAGCTGTTCATCTTATCATATCCAGCTCACAGTGTGCTTTTTGACATGATATTCAGTAAATCCTTGCTCAGTGAACACACAAATGTAAGTGTGATCTATTTTTCACAGTTTCATTCCAGCTTGTTCATTCTGAGTCAGAACCGCCCATGAATTGAAACTTTCAGACAACTATTGAACCATGGGGATTCTACTTTGTTAAGTTCTATCTCATTTTGTTTTTTGTTTTTTTTCTGGAGAACTTACAAAAATGTTAAGGAAGTGTCAGGATATTCTACACAAGGGATATTAGGGTAATATAGCGTAACAGTCATTGGGCTAGGGGGTAAATTTTTGTGTAACTAGAATAGGCAAAATGCATACCTTGAGGTGGAATGTTTTAAAAGTGAAATTGTTCCTCTAAATGTCTGTACTTTGTTCTCTGGAATGTAGGAAGCAGTCCATTAGTTCAAATCTGTCTTATTTTCTTCAGCTTGCTTGCTACAATTAATGCTTTCCTCTACAGATGGAAACAAAAGAAATTTATGCTCAAATACAGCTTCTACTAAAAGATATCGATTTCCTAAGAGGCAGAGAAGCAGAACTGAAGCAAAGAATTGAAGCTTTTAATTTGTAAGTAATGTTTTCATTTTGACTATTGAGAGTCTGTGAGTTTAAAACAAATACTCCTAATTATTCTAATGCTAATTGCCAAGTAGAGTTCTTGGTTGTAAAGGTGCATTCAGCTGGTTTTAAAAGGCATAAGTTGAGAGAAATAAAGACTAGGATTTTGCTTTTGAAATATTAGTTATTGGGATGAAAAGCAGTGAGACACCATCATCAGGCTACAGTAAAACCAGACCAGTACTTTGAAGAAGCTAACAACTCTTAACAAATTATGTTCAGTCACACACTTATGTTTAGTCATTGAGATCTAACGGTCCCATGTGCATGTAGTAACTCGACACACACTTGTGTTCAGTCATTGAGATCTAATGGTTCCATGTGCATGTAGTAACTCAATGCAGTGGCTCTGACTTGATTTGTACTGGGTGATGGATGTGTGTGTACTAAGTGCTCACCAATATTTCATTCTTCACATTGTACCTGCCATTAATAGCAAGCTCACCAGTCTAGTTTATGCAACAAGTTTCTTTTCCATTAGGTTCTACTATTAGTTGACTCTTACTTCCTTAGTGGATTTGTCCTGGTCTTCATTAATGTGGTTAGATCATTTGTATAGGCTTTAATTCATTTTATTTTTCATCTCTGCTACATTACTCTGTTCTAAGCAGTACTGAAGTGGTAAATTGATCAAGACAGAAAAGAAAAATGACATATAAGCCATCAATTTTCAACTGGTATGCTGCAAGAATATATAAAACATGAAATACCTGACTGTAGTCAAGGGCATTAACCTCTTTTTCCTTAGATTTTCAAATAAAAAAAAGACAACATTCAACACAAAATAGCTGTTCATTGTGAATGATTCAAAAATGTATCTGTTGTTTTTTTTTTAAATGGGCAAATATATTGGTATGCTGCAGAATTTTAGTAGTTTATGTGTGTCAGAGATAAATAAGGTTGAAAATCGCTGATATCTACACTAATAAAAGAGAAACATGGTAATTAGCGTATGACTGCTACCCTTCCCATTGGCTAATCAGCATATCCTTATGCAATTAACTGA